GCTGCCGGCTCCGCGCCCCGGCCGTTGTCGCCTCTTCTTCCCGGCTTCTCTCATCATCCTTCGCCTCCCCGTCCTTCTCTTCATCCCCGGCCCCTCGGCGCTTCCCTCTCTGGCTCTTGCTCCCCTCCCCCTACTCCTGTCCTTCCTCTTTTTCGCCTTATAACCCCACTTTCTTCTGCTCACCTTTGGGGCTCTCTTTTCTAGGCCCTTCTCTTTTTCTCTAAAAAAAAAAAAGGGGGAAACAAAAACCCCATCGCCGCAAATGAGAATTGTGAGCGTAACTCCTTTCGCCAACGCCAGAGACCTTTTAAAGGAATGCATCAGTGTGCCGGGATGGTGGCGGTGAGGAGACCGAGGTTCTCAGTGTCTGGGAAATCTGACCGAGAGGTCCCTGTTTCGGTCGTTTCCCTCGTGTCACTCGGGTCGTCAGTTTGGAGATACTGAGGGCGTCTGAAGCGGGCCGATCTCTCTTTCTTCCTTAAAGTCTACACGACCGCAGTGAGACGCGGTGCGGGGACGGCCACCGATTAGGAGGTGGGAATTATTTGCTAAATGTATTGTGACATACCCGGTGCCTCGGTGAACAGCTCCCTTGACCTTGTGCGGCTCCTCCACCCCCCCCCCCACCCCGCTCTCTGTCCCCCTCTGGAATTTCCCCGAGAGATCACCAAGGTACTACACCCGGAAAGCTTAGCCCCTCGCCTTTTCTTTTCTGGTTGTGCTGGAGGCGATTTCTGTGCTGGTGACTATTTTGATGTGTTTAATCCTTTTTCCTTTTTTAAGTGCATTTTTCTTTCACCCCAGAAAGACAGGACAGACTCCAGTGTGAGAATGGCTTTGACTTTGGAAGAAGCGCCTTGGCTGGGCTGGATGTTGGTGAAAGCACTGATGAGGTTTGCCTTCATGGTCGTCAACAACCTGGTTGCTATTCCATCCTACATCTGCTATTTAATTATACTTCAGCCCCTTCGAGTGCTGGACAGTAAGCGGTTCTGGTATATTGAAGGAATCATGTATAAATGGCTGTTAGGAATGGTGGCTTCCTGGGGATGGTATGCTGGATATACAGGTAAGAGTGAGAGCACTTTTGTTTAATGCATATGAAAAAAATGTGTAATGTTATGCTAAGTCAGGAGCCGTAATTGAATACATATTACACTTGGGGTTGAAGATGCTTTTATGCTTTTTGACTATTGAAAAAATAAATAGAAAACCATTCTAATGGCTTTCCCTTCAGAATCTGTTAGGAAACCTGATGTTTTCAGAAGTATAATTTCATGATTATGTATTGGCAGATTCCTTAAATGTTTTTAACGTGATGGACTTTCATTTATTAAAACTGATCTGCACAAGCTCTCATAGAGGAATAGGAATGTGTTATATGGGACATGAGTACTTATAAAGTGAAGATTAGATAGCTCATCTTCTGTTATATGTAAGATGCCTATAAACACTGAAAAATTGGAAAGACAATTGAGCCATATTTGTGCTAAGATAGTTTACTAAGTTTTTTCATTTAATGTGATATTGTAGTGTGTTAATGGCATTTTAAGCCATAGTCAAAGCATAAAAGCATCTTTAACCCCAAGTGTTTTCCGTTATGTTTCTTTTGTTTACTGAAATCTATATTTTATCTCATAAACCTGAGAATATTAAATATTAAAAATTAAGTTGTCTGTGTTAAGCTAATTTATCTTCTTGAGTGTCTTTCAACAGATTTCTATGTCTGCTTTTAAATTGCATTTGGGAAATAGGAGTAATGCTATTCTGAAGTAGACTTTTATAGCACTAAACAAGAAGTAGTGTATATTTTGTTGTAAACTGTATGTACTTTGAGAACTTATACCTCTGCCATGGAAATCCCATATTGCTTATTATATTTATTTTATTTTATTCCCCTTAGAATTAAGATAATTAAAAAAATTGAGATTTCTAGCATTTGTCAGATCTGGAGGCTTTTATTACAGAAATTTGCACCTGGTAGGCAGGCTCCTTAGTGATCATGCTGCGGTTAATAGAGTCTTAAAGCTCATAGCTTGGAAGAGTGAGGAGGATATTCTCAGGGTCGCGCAGTGTGGCAGCTCTCCATTTAAAATTCTCTATCTCCCTCTTTCCTGTCCAGGCTGTATCTGCAGATTTTATCCACACACACAAGAAAAGGATTGACAGTACACAGGTTTTTGGAGTCTGACAGACTTTTGCTATATCTGAGTGGTCTCAATTGCCCAGATGAAGCCTTTTCTCCTTCAGGCAGTGCCATTTATTATTATTATGCAAGAGCTGAAACCCCCTGGGATAGTGTATGCATTGCTTCCTTGTCATTTATCTTGTTGAGATTCCCATGCTCTTTGGATACAGTAAGTGAGATTCTAGTCCTTTTCAGGACTTGATGATAGCAGTAGCAGTGGTAGAGAAAAAAATGAAGTTCTAGTTGTGGTGCTGAATTCTTACCTGAACGGTGCTGCTGTCTTAGAGTTGCTTTGCTTGGTATAGTTTGAGTGTTCCCAAATATGCTATGTGGTACTAGTAGCTTTATTCTTTGTACAGTATACTTAAGTTTGCTTGTTTTAAATGAGTTCATAGTGTTTTGAGAAACCAGTTCTAGAAACACAGTTAAATTACTGAAATGTTTGTGGATGTGTGGTATATTTATGTATAAGTATGAGCATGATGGGAAGGTGAAACAAATTAATTTGGCTTTGACCTTGAGCTTTTAAGGAGTGCAGTGGTGCTCCTTGAAGTTAGTTAGTTATCCTATGGTCATAGCATGGCTTCAGTGTATTTTTAAGCATATTTTCTTGGGGTATCTCCTCCTTGCTGACTATAGAACTGTGTAGTTTCTTTTGCCACCTGCTTGGAAAGTGGTCTTGGCATGATTTGTATATTTTAGTGTCTCTGAAGCATCTACTCCTCTTCAGGCTACTTCATGTTGTCATTTGTGATCAGTTTGTCCCATTTCAATTGAGACTGTTTTAATGTGTGTCTTTTAAATGATTCTCTTATAGAAAAAGTACTTGATTTCAGAGGGTCTGGTCATAGTCTGATTATAGCAGTACACAGCTGAGAACAAATATAGAAATGGATTTTGTTGAAAGCCACGTTTGGATTTAAAGAAGCAAACCTAGGCAGTGGTTGATGAACAGGTGTACCCATACGAGAATTTCTGGAGTTATATTAGACTGTTTTTAAGATATGTATTTCTTTTCTTCTCTTTGCATCAATAGGGGAGTGGGCTTGAAAGTTTTTTGTTCTTTCCCTATGCCCAGGTTTCACAGATAGAATACTGAACATTGCCAAAAGAATTCTGCTTAGCAGGTTAAGTGTGTTCATGATTTAGTATAAAGATTGCCAAAACTTTGTTGAAAAACCACTTAAGAGGAAACCTGAAATACTAATTAAGGAGCTGAGAATTGAATATTGGTATAGAATAACTTTTTCTAACTGACATTTAGTATAAGATGAGTCAATTGCTCAATTCTGCTGCTGAGGACTTATGTTGATTATCTAACCTACACTGCCCCGTATGATAGCCACTAGCTTCATGTGACTTCATTTAAATTAATTAAAATGAAATAAAATTTAGTTCCCCAGTCATACCGGTCACATTTCAAGTGCTCATACTAGGTGACTAGTGGCCACTGTTATTGGGCAGAGCAGATATAGAACACTTACATCATCACAGAAGGTTCTGTTGGGCAGAGCTGTTATAGTAAGAAAGACTTTTTCCCTTTTCTTAGGAAAATTGCATTTTATCTTTATAAAAAGAATATCTTTCTTTTGTGAAAGGGAGATTTATTAAAGTTTTATACAATTGTCTCTTAATTTGAGGCAAACATCACAAAAAAGAACCTTAAAACTCAGACATGGGCCGGGCACAGTGGCTTATGCCTATAATCCCTGCCGAGGTGAGAGGATTGCCTGAGCCTGTAGTTTCAAGACCAGCCTGGGCAACTTGGCGAGACCTCATCTCTACTAAAAAAATAGCCGGGCATGGTGGCATGTGCCTGCAGTTTCAGCTACTTGGAAGGCTGAGGCTGAAGGATCGATAGCCCATCAGGTCAAGGCTGTGGTAGCCAGGAGCATGCCACTGCCCTCCAGCCTGGATAACAGAATGAGACTCCAACTCAAAAAAAAAAAAAAAAAAAAATCAGACATGCTTCTGGGGGTGGAATGGTGAGGCTTACTAGCCCAAGAACTTAAATGAACATTCTTGCACTTTAGTTTGCATTGTCAGAGCTGGAGAAATGACTGTGGACACAGAAGTTGGAAAAGGAATTTTCTGGTCTTTCTGACATTTCCTGATATTAAATCACACATCCCTTAAATTAACTCTGAAGATATTGGGGTGCGTTTATCCCCAGCTTGCTACTAGGTAGTGATGATTGTTGTTTTCACAACCCTTTAGTGGGCCGTTCTGTACAAATATCTCATATTGAGGAAAATTTTTATATTGTATTTGCCCTAATATTTCAAGGACAAACCAGAAGAGGTACTAGCTTAACTAATTATCTACCTTTGCATTTTGTATTTGGATCTGTGATAAATCAGATCCCTTATGCCTCCCAGTTTAAACAAAGATTGGCAAATTCAGGTAGAGATTTTTGTACCAAACAAAACATGTTTATTTAAAATTTTGATTTTCATTTACTTATTTTAATATGATTCAGACATATTTAATTCATTTAATTAAAGCCTCTGTACATGAAATAGTTTTAAAATATTTATTGTAGGCCAGGTGTGGTGACTCATACCTGTAATCTCAGCACTTTGGGAGGTGAGCTGAGAGGATTGCCTAAACCCAGGGGCTCGAGATCAGAAGGGGCAATTTGGTGAGACCTCATCTTTACAATAAATCAAAAAATTAGCCAGGTGTGGTGGTACACACCTGTAGTTCTAGCTACTTGGAAGGCTGAGGCAGAAGGATAGCCTGAGCCCAGCAGGTTAAGGCTGTGATGGCCATGAATATGCCACTGCACTCCAGCCTGGGTGACAGAGTGAGACTCCAATTCAAAAACAAAACAAAACAAAACAAATATTTATTGTAAGTGGAAGCTCCAGAATTTCTGTATAGGATGAGAATCTTCTGGGCCAGAGTCTTGCTGGAAGGGATCTGGGGTGCCAGGACTTGCTGCCAAGCTGTTTTTACTTAGCGAACACTGTTTTCCTTAAATTGTGTATTTACGTGGGGAGGCTTCAGAGAACGCTGATGGAGATGAGATTTAGTCTTCTCCCATTCCAGTGACAGCTGCCTTGGCTGTATGTTAGTCTCTCTGGGTTATTTGCTTATTTAATAGCGTCCTACTTTTTTTGTTGAAATATAGATTCTTTGTGCGAGAAAAATTAATCTTAAAATTATATCTGACCCTGAAATTCTAGAGAAAGTTTAAAAAATATATATCTTTTAGGGCAGTATTTTTCAACCTTTGAACCATAAAACTAATTTAGTGTGTCAAGATGAATATTTTTAAAATGTGAAGTAAAATAAAATAAAAAATATCAGAAATGTGTGTATCTGTACTGAGTGGTGCTACAGAATGTATTTTTTACTATGAATGCAGTCAATATTTGAAAGGCATTGTTCTGGTGGAAAGAGCACTGTAAATTAGGAAAACTCTGGGAGTCAGTGTCTTGATCTAGCTTTAACTTTAACATCTCTACTCACTAGTAGGAGTGAGATCCTTACCTGCTCTTGGGCCTCCCTAGAGCCTAATTTGTTACCTGATGCTCATAGAGTGCTCAGTAAGTGTCTATTTCTTTCCTTTTTTTTTTTTTTTTTGAGTCAGAGTCTAACTGTGTCTCCCAGGCTGGAGTGCAGTGGTGTGCTCATGGCTACCGCAGCCTCGACCTGCTGGGCTGAGGTGATCCTTCTGCCTCAGTCTTTCAAGTAGCTAGATGTGTGCCATCATGCCCGGTTAATTTTTTTATTTATTGTAGACATGAGGTCTCACCAAGTTGCCCAGGCTGGTCTCGAACCCGTGGACTCAGGCAATCTTCTTGCCTTCGCCTACCAACGTGCTGGGATTACAGGGGTGAGCCACTGCACTTGGCTGTCTATTTCTTGAAAGATCT